GTAGCAATAACCTGTCCTCTAGGGTCCTGCAATTTGCATTCCCTATTAGTGAATATGAAACTCACATCTTTGTCTGCAATGAGTTGGCCCACTGATAACAAGTTGAACTTAAAAACAGGCACCGTACATTTCTCAGTACTATTTCTCCAGATAATTCCTCTTCACCAATTTGATGTACTTTCAACTTTGATCCATCAGACAAGTTCACAACAATTGGATTATCAAGAGAACACAACCTTTTCATCATCTCAGCACAAGAGCAAATGTGCCTAGAAGCACCAGTATCTATAATCCAGCTCTCTTTATTGAGTTCATTTAATAAGGATAAGGCAAAGTCTTGTGGATGATTACCTGAATAATCCACATAACGTGAAAAGGAGTGAGTTTCTGTTTCCTGCTGCTTTGAAATGTTCTTGGCAATCTCTCTTATCAGAGAATTCATTTTTTGCTTAGGTGTGTCCTCTTCTTGGGATTTGCTATCCACATCACTCTTGTCTGTTTCTGACCCTTCCACCATGTTAGCTGCTGAGGTTAATCTTTGTTGTTTCAAATCCTTATACCAGTCTGGAAAGCCATGTATTTTGAAGCAGCTTTGCATGTTATGGCCATTATAGCCACAATGAGTGCAGAACAATTTGGATTTGTCCTCCTTTGATAGCCTGTTGGCTCCTCTTTCTCTCCCAAAATTTCCAAAGCCTTGTCCAAATGGTTCCTTGCCTGTCCCTCTACCATAAAAACCAGGTCTATTTCCACCTCTACCAACTCTTTTCACCATCATAGCAGAAGTTTCCAATGGATCTAAGGCCACATAATTCATTTTCTGTTTCTCAACCTTTAAAATCATTAAATAGGCTTTGTTGACAGTTGGTAAAGGATCTAGTAGCAATATCTGATTCCTCACAGGCTCATAAACCTCATTTAGGCCCATCAAAAACTGCATCATCTTAACCTCCATATCATTTTCACTGAATACTTTTCCAGATCCGCAAGCATATTCAGGCAGTGATACAAGGCATGTATATTCATCCCACAGACACTTCAATTTCGTATAATAAGCAGTGACCGAGAGAGAACCTTGTGAGAAATTAGCGATCTCTTTGCGCAGCTGGTATTTCAACAGATCGTTACTTTCTCCATATCTTTCGGCTATTTCATCCCAGAGTTCCTTTGCACTTTTGACAAACGTAAAAGCCTGAACTATATCCTTCGAGATCGTATTCAAAAGCCACAAGATTACAATGTATTCTACCTTCTGATACTGATCATAATCATCAGTATTTTGTTCTAGTATAATGACTGTGCCATATATGAATCTAAGCTTCGATTTTGCTCCTAATGCTAGCTTGATTGCACGACTCCAATGGAGGTAGTTCGTACCTGTCAGCTGAAAGGTGATTAAGACCAAACCAGGATGATCCGATCCATGTAGTGATAATGGATCATTTTCGCGAGAGAAATTTCTGGTCACGATCTCACGTCCTTGTCTGTTTTTGTCGTCCGCCATTGAAGACAAATGCGACCCGCTCTAGATACCATGAAGAGATGAACAATTTTCCATTTCCTAGATCTGAGAGAGAATTTTAGGTATTTCTCCAAACAATTTTCTTAGCTCGAATGAAAAGTACAGAATGTCTGGGTATAAAAACCCTCAGCTCACAATAAGCACGACAAGGACATAAGAGTCCTTTCACCATAAAGTCCCAAACACAATGCATAGAAAATAAAACGCGAGTTCAAAAGTAAAACACGCCTAATGGCTAAAACATAAAAACAGAAAAATAGAAAAGATAGCTCCATGCAGTCCACGTTCAACTTGACCCGTGTCCAGCATGGCTCGATGACATGACCAAGCTCAACACTTTTTCACGCTTCACAGTTGATATACATATATCCAACACAAATTTTGATTTTTTTGGAATTTCACAGAGTCTGTTTCAAAAACTAATTAGCTATTTCTATGTTTGGATTTTAGAATTTTCACATTTTTATGTAAACTAATCTGCCGAGTTTTGAGGTACTTTTATTTATGAAAAACTGAATTTTTCTTGTTTGATTTTGTAACTGATTATGTCTGTATGACTAATGCTTTTTAAGATCTATCAAAGCGGCTATGCGTTTTCACACAAGCGATGAGGAGGATGACATTGATCGGGATTATTCGAAGGTCTTTTTTTGTCATTGTTTTTTGTTGAATCGACCATTAATTTGACTTGTAGTTTATAGGTATGTCATATAAACTATAGCTTATAGTTATTTTAGTAATTCGAACTTAGAGTTATTTTTTAGATGTATAAGTGTATGTTTTGCTTTCTTTACATGTTCTAATCATTGTATTTTGATTTTGTAAATTTTGAGCATATCATCCGATTAGAAGATATATTTGATGGCGATATCGAAGGCAAAGGTGAGCAAGAAAATCTCCAACATGATGAGCATGAACATCGACGACTAATATTAATAATTAGAATTTCAAATTTCGAATCGACCAGAAAGCTAACTTGTACTGTATATTAATATTTTATAATATTATGAAACTTATTTATTATGTTAGACTTTCAATTTTTATTTTTTTTTTACAATATGATGTTGAATCGCAAGGGAAAAAAAACAAAATCCGGAGTCAGAGCGGTCGTCCGATTAAAATCCAAACTGAGTAGAAAGAAATCAATCGGAGTCTACTAAAGGTTTGTAAAAATTTGAAGTGAATTTGATTTCTTCAAAGAAATTGTATATTATGTAAATATGTCGTTCACAAATATTTAATGTATAGCACGCAAACATTTGGGCATTTATGCATGAAAATATATCGTCCCTAAACTGACCGAGCAGACCAAACTATGAAACTGCAGCTATATACAAAAAACGGGTAAACTTAATTTCCGCTTCACAATGCTTTCAGTACATTTTTTTTATGCATTGACATAATAAAACAAAAATCAAACATAAAGCTACTAGTAATTTTATGATTGTATTGACATATTCTTTTTTTTTTTTTATGTACAAAATATGGAGAAAGATCAAACGAAAGCATGAACGCAGAAACACTACACACAATATGTCATGATAATATGAACAGGTATGTTACTCAAACTTACTCAAACTGGTATAAATAAATATAGCTGCCTAAGATACGACAAACTATATCAGTAAAATATGATCTTAAGAAATAACAAATGACATTTTAAACTCTGATTACTGCCAATATTAAAAGATTCGCCTTTGAATAGAGCTCCTTATGTGGAGTTTTTGCTCCTTTTGTTAAATCCCTTATGTGTTGAAGTGATAGTATCTGATTTCATCAAGGACTCTAGCATATTGTATATGAAAATTTGGTTATATAATGTAGCAGTTTATGGTTATATGGTTATAGTAGAAATTAATACAATAGTAACCTCATTATGAGGATACATGAAATTTCTATGCCCATTGAACATAACTAAAATAATTGGTTTTTATAAGCATTTTCCATTTAATAGATAAAGTTAAAGCATTGATCTATATACAACAGTTATTTGAACAAATTTTTATGTACAGCATAAAAATTTGCAATATAGGATGAAAAAAAATTCAGGTATATCTGTTATTAAAATTAAATTACCAACTGAAGCATGAATGATGACATTGTTTCTTCTAATCCGTTTGTTGAATTCCTTATCTGTCTCTTTATCTGCTTCTTTATCTGCTGAACTTGTACTTTTTGTTCTGACTGCATCTATGTCCATTACAGTCGCTCCTATTCATAAATTAAATACATGAAATAATTAGATTAATATTGCCCAAAAAAATATTATATTTTGTTTGGAGAAATAAAATATAGCAAGTAGATGTACAAAGATGATAAAAAAAATTACCTTGAGTCTTGCCTATGTTTTTTAGTGTATTGCTGCATTTTTTTGATTCGTTATTTGTTGAACAGCCTGGTATTGATGGATCCGAGTTTATTGAACCTTGTATATTCTTGTATTTCCAACCTATTCTTGTATTTCCAACCCTGGTAAAAAAAAAATATTTAAAAAAAAGTACTTCAAAGATGAAAATATAGAATGAAGCTCATATGATATATAGGGGCTCTAAACGATTGAACCAACTCAAATCTTCAAATAAGATTTTATGAAAAGCCTTTGAAGAGTTTATGTGAAGATAAAGACATTTGAAATTTATCAATGGGAGTCCACTTATTTAATAGAAAGAATATAGGATAGTTAGCTATATATGGGCATCAAAATCTCTTATTAGAGAATATAGGAAAAATCCTGGTCAATGATACACAAGACATTTCTAAATTTAGAATATTAAGATGTGGTAAACTACAGAAAGATTCGTATATAAATTATAATTTTTTTTTCATTTGGCACATGTCTTATACACAGAGAGTATCAATTACACTCTTATAAAAATTCAATTATAGATTTATTTACGTAAATAAATAAGTACTATTATAAAATGTAAAAATATTTTATCCAATATGCAGATAATTTTAATTGGCTATGTAACTATATCTTAAATAAAATACATCATAGATATTATTTGTTAATTGTATTATGAAAGAAATGAAAATATTACCTCTTCAATGAAACAAACACTACAAGAATAATCAATTTTAGTGACGATAATTTTTGTCCCTATGTCGTCATAAAAAATACTGTCGCTAATAATGTCTTAATATTGTCGCTATATGTTCGAATGTCGTCCGAATAATACCTCTTATTGTGACGGTATTTTTTGTGACGACGTAGCGACAAAAATTATCGTCACTATAAATGATTATTCTTGTAGTTAAATATGAAAAACAATTATTGC